CAGTATCGTGCGGTTAGCTGTTTCGTAAATTCGGGCTCTACTCTCAAAAAGTTAGTTTCGTTAATATGTATATGTTATATGCCCACCACAAGTCAATAAAAACACATTCTCCTTCTTATTTACAACCCTTAATACATGAAACCTTCCAATAACTAGTCTTCACTAGTTAGTAGATAATAAAGATAATAGAAAATATTAACCTGAAATGTACTGGTAGTAGGCCTTTGTAAATACGACTTTGAAGACCCCACGCGTCACCTGTCACGCAAATGCCATAAAATAATATATAAATTCATGTTTCAAAATATTGTAATTTACGACTGACAACACAGATCTACAAGTCATGAGAACGTGCTATATACTCTCACGGAACAAAGTAACTAAAAATTTAATGTAAGGTTAAGTACATTAATTTCTGTACCACATGCGTGTACTGAAACATAAGGTTCTAAATAAATTAAATCAGTCACGTACAGGCATATCAAGAATAGCTTTCCTCTCACTATGTACTTCTCTAGTCCGAGACCAGAATCTATGTTATTATCCAATTTCATGAATGCCTTATACAAACTCGGCCTGATGAAAAGTCATATAGACCAAAATCACATATTTTTATACTGCCATAATTTTAGGTTTCACACACAAGGACTAACTAAATTACGTTTTCTGTGCAAGTGTTGTCAGTACACACACGAAGACCGTATGTCCACGACGAGTGTGGCTATAAAAGTCCACGTAATCTAGACCTTCACACTGGATGACAAACATTTTCTGAAAGAGTTCAGAGAAGGATCTGAGTTCGACACCAGGTGGTCAGTGGCAAATTATATGTATTTGTTCTAATGATATAAGAATTAATATGCAATGGTTCAAGGATAAACAGGAACAACTATTTTTTACAACGACCAACAAGACGAGACGGCACAAACCTTCTAAATATGCTCTTAATTGCAATAATAATTTAATGGTTGCCAACTCATACATGAAATGTTATCATTTCTCTTACCTAACTTACAGATATGTTTACAACTAGAATAGTTCGTTGGGGCATGACCTTGAGTTATTTTCCACTCCAGTGTACAAGCCCACTGTAAAACTCAAGGTCATATCTCACGTCCCGCCGAAGTAGCTGTAACGTTCGATTAACTCAGTTAATTTATCCGCATAGGCCACACCAAAATTTCAATATATTTAAGCTGTGATCCCAATTGAAATTTCTGCTTCAAAAGAAACTGAATAACACGAACATCAAAATTACCCTGAATTCTAAATCAGCGCTAAACAATCTCACCAGTTTATACGGAATCGCAAAAGAATTTACGAATGATTAATATTTTTATGACAAAAAAAATTACGTGGGACTTACGTGACACATAGTTGTTCGCTCACTCTTAATGTAGGTGACACACAGCTCGCATTCCTCGGGTTTAAAAGCTCCAAAAAGTGGCCGTGAATTCCGAAACAAGGTACAGCTATTATTGCTGCATCACCCCCAACTGGGGAGGGGTGGATGGAGTGTGGAGGGAGAAAAGAGAGGCAGTGTTTCCCAGGATACTCGGAACAATTTCTGAGATGTGACAAGAGGAATTCGGACCGCCCTTCCAGTAGTGCAGAGGTGTGGAAGAATGCAGCCAGGAATGCGAGACCGGAGACAGCCTGTCCCCGAACTAACGCCAGGCTGCATCTCCACAACTCGAAACTCTTCCCCACAGAACACAGCATTCCTTTTTTATTATTTTTCTTAGATACTTTCGCGTTGCATGCCAAGAACACGCAATGTAGGGGCAGAGACCATAATTCGTATTCCGCGCGAGGTAAGGACAGGATTTACGTCTCTCAGGACAAGGTCCAGTAGCAAGCTTTTGTAAACACGACAATAAACATTCTACTTTGGACGGGGTATTTCTTGAATGGCAGCTTCCAACAGCAGTGACCATCATGCTCTCAAAAAACAGTCTACTCTTTGCAGTTAAGCTATTTTATAATGTTCGAAAGAAAACAGTGTCACAGCGGCAAGTCCTAAGAAAATGAGAAGCACAGAGAGTCGTTCATGATCCTTAGCTTTCTTATAAACGTAAATAGCTTATTGTTCCTTACTTAAGAACAGATTCTGTGAATCCAGGAAATTCCAACAGCTACGAATTCGCAGTCGAACACGTAACAACCAACAGAAGTAAAGATTCAGTGTATGAAATTCACAGACCAGTGGGGCGTGTAACGAGCGACTGAGTCCCGCTCCTTTAAGATACGCAGTTACCTAACCTAACGTAACGTAACCTAACCTAACATAACCTAACCTAACGTAACCTAACCCAACCTAACCTAACGTTACCTAACCCAACCTAGTCTAACCTTACCTAACATAACCTAACCTACGTTACCTAACCCAACCTAGTCTAACCTAACCCAACCTAACCTAACGTTACCTAACCCAACCTAGTCTAACCTAACCCAACCTAACCTAACGTTACCTAACCCAACCTAGTCTAACCTAACCCAACCTAACCTAACGTAACGTAACCTTACCTAACATAACCTAACCTAACCTAACGTAACACAACCTAACCTAACGTTACCTAACCCAACCTAGTCTAACCTAACCCAACCTAACCTAACCCTCGATCGAACTTTTAAGAATACGGTAATATACATTACACTACTGTACTATAATTAACGACATGATACTTTCGAAGCAAGGCAACGTAAACGTGTGACTGCTTTTCTTGAGATTTCCATGAACTATACAAGCATTGTAGAACTCCCTTGTGTACACGAACCAAACTGCATTTACAATAAATCTTTTCTTCCCCTTCAGCATTTCTTTCCTTCTCTGGTTATTCCACACAGAAGTCGGTAGCATAATAGTCGCAATTAGAGAAGCAAGATTTTCCCGTAGACATCACACATAAACCAGAAGGGTGTGAGAGGGAGTAGACTGCCTGATGCTTATGTTACCATGGAGACGGAACAAATTAACGTCTTCTTCTGTTTCGCCCTTTTATCACTGTAAGAGCAGCAGTTGGGAGGTTTACTATCCTTTACTAACATGTCCATATTAATCTGACCCCGCTGCTACTAAGAACGCGGGCTTCATAATGGACGTAAAAATGAAATGAGAGCAAAGGATGGAAAAAAACTGTGAAAAACAAAGACTCGTGGTAAAAATGCCTCTGCCGGTAACGGATAAAATGTATCTTGAGGGGAAAAAGCGACGAGTGAAACGACGATGTCTCCAGAGTTTTGATTTAATTTAATCATAGGCCTAAAGCTTTGGGAATTTTATGTTTACCATTCTCCATTCCTAGAAAAATGTGTTGGCGTTACAAATTATTAGTTTCATCACGGTCAACAGATTAAGCTGGCCCACACAATGTGTTATCCGTCCATCTATCAATCCAATGGCGCTACAGTCCAAGTCGGGCCCTGACAGCATATCGCTAATATACGTAATGTTATACATTAGTTAATAAATTCTTCGCATACGTGGCCAAGTTCAAATATTTTGGAACAAAAGTAGCAAACAGAACTTACATCCACGAAAAAATTTATAAGGCTTGCTATTAGTTCAGAATATTTTGTACTCTCGTCTCTAAGAATGGTAATATTGACACATACAAGAGCGTAATGTTGTCTGTTGTTTTGTGTGGGCGTGAAACGTTACGGGCAGGTCGTAAAGAGCATGTCTGAGACCAGGGCGCCGTGGAAAATATTCGAATATTAAGAAGCAGAAAGAAACAGAGGGCGGATTAAACGAGACGCTACATCATTTGTATTCCCCACTGAATATCATTAGAATGAACAAATCGATAAGGAAAAGATGGATGGGGCATCGAGAGACATAAGAAATGCAAAGTTTTTGTGTATAAACCTGAACGAAGAAGTGGAATACCACTTGGAAGTAGGCGCAGATGGAAAGATAATATAAAAATTAATCTTAACCATTTTAAGCCACAGTTCGACTAATTTATATTTAATAATTCAGCCCGTACCGCAAAGAAAACAGCACTTCCACCATTACAAAGATCAACTGCGTAATGATACATAAGGAAACAATTCCTATTTACACTGGGAACAGTTATGGCTACGCTTAAGAGTGTAGATTGGATTAATATGGCTCAGGATAGGGACCAGTGGCATGTAATTGTGAGTGCGGTAATCTGAAAATCACCTGAAATTCTTGCCCCATTTTTAGAGATGTTACGTCCTGTTACTGTCAACTACCAGAAACCGTCATAAGAAGAACTTTTAAATATGAAACAGTAGAAATCTGGATTACGTTCATTAGTGGTGC